AATTATCTATGCTTCCTTGGGTTTCTTGAAAGACGCCATGAAATGAAATTATGAAAAATCTCTATAAAAATGAACATTAATTTGTAAAAACATTTAAAACAAAACTTGAAATCAAACAAAAGATTTAGCTCCAGCTAAACTGGATTTGGTTCAATAAAACTCAATTGTGCGTCGGAGCTGCCTCCTCATGTCTCTGAGCAGCAGCAAGGTCACGCGTGTAGTCAAAACAAAAACAAAAGTCACCGCTTGAATGTGAATTGGGTAGTTTAACTTAATAATATAATACTTTTACATCCTAATTCCCTCTTTCTTTTTAGACAAAGTCTATAATCAATAATCACTTTTAACAGATTCTAATTTAAATGTTTGAAAAACGGCTTTTGTAACTAAAATAAAAACATAAAAAAATTCTCACTAACAGCTATGAAATATATCAGAAATACAATAATGGACTCGCAAAATAAGCAGCAGATTTAAAAAGAAAAGCAAAGCTTTTTGTACTAATCTTTGGGTTTCAAAAACATACTAATTCAAAACTTCTATTCCCTAATGGTGTTTAAAAACGTTTAACTGTGTCTAACACAATGTTCAAATGGCAAATTTAGCAAATTTAACGGAATAACTACTATGAAAAGCCAAAAATCCTAAAGCAGTAGCTTTGCTTCAGATTCACAGCCAGAGCAGCGAAGGAGGGGGCCGTTTCCCTGACAACGGCAGCAGATAGAGATGTGCACACACAGGCAAAAAGATACAGAAGAATAACTTTCAAGATTACTTTGTTAAGCGAATATAACTGATGTTGTTCTTTATACTTTTGTCATCCAAATCTAGAAATGATCACTTTCCACACTAGTAACAAAAGGCACTCTTTAGTGTTTAACGTTTCCCTTTTTATAATTACTTTTAATTCACCATGGTTTCTCTCAAAGGGACTTTAACCCTGAAGCTTCTTCTCAAAGGGACTTTAACCCCGAGGCTTTTCTCAAAGGGACTTTAACCCCGAGACTTTCTCAAAGGGACTTTAACCCCGAGGCTCAAAGGGACTTTAACCCCCGAGACTTTCTCAAAGGGACTTTAACCCCGAGGCTCAAAGGGACTTTAACCCCGAGACTTTCTCAAAGGGACTTTAACCCCGAGGCTCAAAGGGACTTTAACCCCGAGACTTCTTCAAAATACAATTTAGAGAGTTTGACAGACCCCAAAAAACACACCAAAATTTAGCTAATATCCAATTATGCAGACTTTACATATTAAAAAAGGTGTCTGCTTACCTTATTCTTGTCAAACCGGTTCCAAGGACTGTCCGAGAGGTCTGCCAACCTCTTTTCCGCGTCGGAATATTCAATTTAAAAAAACAAAAGTGACAGAAGCGACAAGAAGCATCCAGGAACAGCTCTTCCAGCCTGCTGGAATCTCCGCTCCCAGACACAGCATGCCGATCTCTCACGCCGAGGAAAAAAAAACAGAGCAAACTCCCCCAAAACAATCCAGAGAATGGCACAAACCGAGCCGCGCATTCTCCACCAAATCTGTCAGGGATGAAGCAGACAGAGACGGATCGTGGTGTGCCAAACTCTGGAAGTTTATTTAAGTTTCTCTCAAGTTCCACTAGTTTACTCTGTTTCTTTCCCTCAGACAGAATAAAGGCAGTACACAGTTTATATAGTCATTGTCACGTCACACATCGAAAGACATACGTGTCACAAAGAGACAGTCACATCATAGTCATAACATGGAGTCCTTGTAGAGTCCTTGTAGAGTCCTGCACGTAGGCCATATTGCTATCTAATACTAACAATAGCATCATTCCAACAAGGACCAGGGTCATCTATAACAACGACAAACCCTGGTTCACTGCTAAACTCCGGCAGCTCAGGAAAGCAAAGGAGTCTGCTTTCAGGGAGGGGGACCGCAGCGGCTACAAAGCAGCTAAATATCAGTTCAGGAAAGAACTGAAAGCAGCCAAGTCCCGGCACAGAGAACGACTACAGGAGCAGTTTGGTAACAACGATACTGCTTCTGTCTGGAGGGGCCTACGGGAGATCACCAACTACAAACCCAAAGCCCCCCCCTGTGCTGACGACCACAAGCTAGCTGACGATCTGAACTTATTTTTCAGTCGCTTTGATGCTGCCCCTGACACCTCTCCCTCCCCCACCCCCCACTACTCTAACGACCCACCCATCAGCCCTGCCCCCAGCCTAACAATAGCCGCTAAAGAGATTAAACAACTCTTCCTGAGGCTGCACCCCCACAAAGCTCCTGGCCCGGACCACGTGTCTCCGGCCACTCTGAGACACTGCGCCAGTGAGCTTACTCCTGTGTTCACGGACATTTTCAACACCTCTCTGCAGTCCTACCATGTCCCGGCCTGCTTCAAATCCTCCATCATTGTCCCCGTCCCGAAGAAGCCCAGGATCACAGGACTCAACGACTACAGACCTGTAGCACTTACGTCTGTCGTCATGAAGTCATTTGATCGCCTGGTTCTCTCCCATCTCAAGTCCCTCACCTCCCCCCTCCTGGACCCCCTGCAGTTCACCTACAGAGCCAACAGATCTGTAGACGACGCCATTAACCTGGCCCTCCACCACATCCTACAGCACCTGGACTCCCCGGGGACCTACGCCAGGCTCCTGTTCGTGGAGTTCAGCTCTGCCTTCAACACAATCCTACCATCCCTGCTCCAGGACAAGCTCTCCCAGCTCAACGTGCCCGATTCCACCTGCAGGTGGATCACTGACTTCCTGACGGACAGGAAGCAGCGAGTGCGTCTGGGGAAGAATGTCTCGGACTCTCGGATTATAAATACAGGAGCCCCACAGGGCTGTGTTCTTTCTCCCCTGCTCTTCTCCCTGTACACCAACCACTGCACCTCCAGCCACGACTCCGTGAAGCTGATCAAGTTCGCGGACGACACCACCCTCATTGGACTCATCTCCAACAACGATGAGTCCGCCTACAGGAGGGAGGTGGACCGGCTGGTGTCTCCTACAGGAGGGAGGTGGACCGGCTGGTTTCCTGGTGCAGTGGTAACAACCTGGAGCTGAACGCCCAGAAGACAGTGGAGATGATTGTGGACTTCAGGAAGAGCACTGTCCCCCCACCCCCACCCTCCGTGATGGACTCCCCCATCACCTCTGTGGAGTCCTTCCGTTTCCTGGGCACCACCATCACCCAGGACCTCAAGTGGGAGCCGACCATCAGCTCCCTCATCAAGAAGGCCCAGCAGAGGATGTACTTCCTGCGGCAGCTCAGGAAAGCCAAGCTGCCTGCACAGATGTTGGTGCAGTTCTACACGGCCATCATCGAGTCCATCCTCACCTCCTCCATCACCTCCTCCATCACCTCCTCCATCACCGTGTGGTTCGCTGGAGCCACAGTCAGGGACAAACAGAGACTACAGCGCATTGTGCGCTCTGCAGAGGAAGTGATCGGCCGCAGCCTTCCATCGCTGCAGGACCTGTACGTCGCCCGAGCTCGAGGCCGGGCTGGTCGTATCACAGCCGACCCCTCTCACCTGCACATGGACTATTCCAACCACTCCCCTCTCACCTCTCACCTGCACATGGACTATTCCAACCACTCCCCTCAGGCAGGAGGCTGCGGTCCATCAGGACTAGAACCTCCCGCCACAAGAACAGTTTCTTCCCCTCTGCTGTTGGACTCTTGAACACTTCTTAACCTGTCCCCCCGCCCTTTATAAAGTCACTTTACTGCCCATCATACGTCACTTTACTTCACTGTACTGCTGTCACCTTACATTGTGTGCACCATGTGCACTTGGATATTGTAAATAGTAACTGTAACTCTATTTTAAATTTAAATGTATTCTTTAGAAGTGTTTTTTATTCTTATTTTTATTATCTCTTTTTGACTGTTGCACTGAGCCAAAGCAATTTCCTAGTCTGTGACCTCTGATGATGATTCTGATTCTGATTCTGATTCTGATTGTGTGTGCAGTGCTGGTCCTCACTGGGGTTGTGTTGTGTGTGCAGTGCTGGTCCTCCCTGGGTTGAGTTGTGTGTGCAGTGCTGGTCCTCACTGGGTTGTGTTGTGTGTGCAGTGCTGGTCCTCACTGGGGTTGTGTTGTTTGTGCAGTGCTGGTCCTCCCTGGGTTGTGTTGTGTGTGCAGTGCTGGTCCTCCCTGGGTTGAGTTGTGTGTGCAGTGCTGGTCCTCACTGGGGTTGTGTTGTGTGTGCTGTGCTGGTGCTCACTGGGGTTGTGTTGTGTGTGCAGTGCTGGTCCTCACTGGGATTGTGTTGTGTGTGCAGTGCTGGTCCTCACTGGGGTTGTGTTGTGTGTGCAGTGCTGGTGCTCACTGGGGTTGTGTTGCGTGTGCAGTGCTGGTCCTCACTGGGGTTGTGTTGTGTGTGCTGTGCTGGTGCTCACTGGGGTTGTGTTGTGTGTGCAGTGCTGGTCCTCTGGGGTTGAGTTGTGTGTGCAGTGCTGGTCCTCACTGGGGTTGTGTTGTGTGTGCAGTGCTGGTCCTCACTGGGGTTGTGTTGTGTGTGCTGTGCTGGTCCTCCCTGGGTTGTGTTGTGTGTGCAGTGCTGGTCCTCCCTGGGGTTGTGTTGTGTGTGCTGTGCTGGTGCTCACTGGGGTTGTGTTGTGTGTGCAGTGCTGGTGCTCACTGGGGTTGTGTTGTGTGTGCAGTGCTGGTCCTCCCTGGGTTGAGTTGTGTGTGCAGTGCTGGTCCTCCCTGGGTTGTGTTGTGTGTGCAGTGCTGGTCCTCACTGGGGTTGTGTTGTGTGTGCAGTGCTGGTCCTCCCTGGGTTGTGTTGTGTGTGCTGTGCTGGTGCTCACTGGGGTTGTGTTGTGTGTGCTGTGCTGGTGCTCACTGGGGTTGAGTTGTGTGTGCAGTGCTGGTCCTCCCTGGGTTGTGTTGTGTGTGCTGTGCTGGTGCTCACTGGGGTTGTGTTGTGTGTGCAGTGCTGGTGCTCACTGGGTTGTGTTGTGTGTGCTGTGCTGGTCCTCACTGGGTTGTGTTGTGTGTGCAGGAAACCGACGCCTCTCGCATGTGTATGGATTATCACAACTACGAGAGGGAGCGCTGTGCAGCATACTTCCAGAACTACAAGAATTGCCGGAAGTACTGGGTATGAGTACTTTACTGTAACTGTAATGTATTTGTTTTTTGAGTAAATCTTACTATATTTTTTAGGGCTGAAGTTCACCAAACACACGTTCTATAGTCAAATAAACACAAAAATAGACATTAGTCCGCTTTCGGCCGTGTGAGAGTTGTTTTCTCCTTTGCACACCCATTGTTGTATTTTGGGCAATGTTCGACTAATTTATATTCTGTTATCCGCACTGGTTTAACTTGGTGGGGATCTTGAAGATGAAATAATACCGAGTACTAGTGCTTCTGCATCAGTACGAGTTGTGCGTCCATTTGCACATAGTGTGTAATAAACATCTAACATGATGCGATGTAATGGAAGTGCAGAACATTATTCCCAAGACTAATTTTGAAGCAAATTTCAAAGAACATCGTACTCTAAAAATTCAGCGTCCCAAGTTTAAGATGGGAGCGTTTCTAAAAACTTCTAGCAGAAGTTCTTGACATAGATGGATAAATATAGATCAAGGTGTCAAATCGGTGAACAGCAGCACACCAGACTCCACCCATTTCCTCAAATCTCCAGGTTAAAACTGGATAACTGAGCTGATGAAATGGGGGAGTCTGGTGTGCTGCTGTTCAGACCCTTTGAGGACCGGTATGACACCCCTGATATAGAGGATATCGATGGTAGATTGAACTGAAAACAACTCCTGGGTTGTTTTGGATTTTGGACAATATTGTACAGCTGTGTGTGTGTGTGTTTTCCCTTAGCACAACATCATGATCCAGAGGAGGCGAGACGGGGTAAAACCAGACATGCCGACAGCCGCTGAAAGGCAGGAGATGCTGGCCGCCTTGGGACAGAAGCCTTACTGACCACTTTATCCATGCACTGCTCCAGGACGTCTGTCAGCACTGCACAATCCTCCAACCTCAAGTCAAAAGACCAACAACGTATTCTATGAACTGTGATTGTTATTGTCACTTCAAAAGGATGAAGACATGAGCCACAGGTGTTCAGGCCTCATTCTTTGACAACTATATGTGTAATGTTCAGAATAAAGCTGCAAGCGCATTTGCTATGCTCTAACTTGTATTTGTGTTCAAATACAAGTACAAATACAATACATTAAAAACAAGATCACAAGTAAATGTACAGAGTCCCTGTAGAAAGGACGGTTTAGTTTTATGATTTGGACACTAGCTAAGGCTGCAGGGAGTCGGGACAGATCAGCAATTATTCACCGGTATGTTCATGTGAGGGAGAAGCAGCGGAATGTCCACTGAAGAACTTTTCATTTACCGGACTTTAAGCCGGTAATGCCAATCATGTGTTTGTTAGAGTCAGAGCAGAGTTTAGAGACTTTTTTGGTAGCTATATATTGGACACTCTATTGTCAAAATAGATGAAACACCTGTTAACACCAGTCATTAAATCATGTTGTGACCAGTTTAAACAGTCATCTTTCTGCTACATTGCAACAAACAAGCCTGTGGCTTATATTCAGGTGCAGCCTATATGTGACCAAAATAGATAGTCTTTTAAAAAGTTGGTGATGCGGCTTATATACAGGTGCACTTTGTAGTCCAGAAACTCCTTTAGGAAACACATGTGGTTTTCTATGAAAGGATTATTTGACAAATTATTTGTGACAACAAAAGGTAATACCTATATAAATGTCTAGTCATACACTACATCAAGTGTGACCACATGTCATTTGTACAATACAGAATGTAGTAGAAGTACAAGATGGCCGATAAATAATCTATAAACTTTCCCATCAAATATATAAATGAATTAATTGGTCAAAAACATGTTTACTACCATACAATTAGGAATGAAAAGAAGAGGGCCAGTACCATTAGTTGCCTGGGTGCAACAGTGGGGTGGCTGTGGCTAAAAAGCGCTCACCCACATTGCCTAGAATGAGTCTGGGGTGATTGTCAATGGTTGAGGGTGCCAATGGCAAGTATAGGTTTCCTCACTTCTATCACTTTGCCCCAGGGCAACTGTGGCGCCTGTAGTAGATTATCACCTGTGTGTATGGAGGGAAAGTCCAAAGAGCTCTGTGTGAAACCATCGTATCATCCTGACCAAGTCCAGCATCAACATCTGGAGATGGGACCCCTGGCTAAACTGTGGCGACCACTGCAGCTGATGTCTGACAGATGTCCCTTGTGGCATTGCAGGATTGGACGAATGCAGAAAAAGGGATCCATAAAAGTGCCTGACGCAAATCCATATTCTTGTTTATTACATGCAAAATGTCCAGATGTCTTTAGTGACTGGATGTATTTATTCAACTGGTCGCTGTTTCATTATGTTAGAAGTTGCAGAATAAATAAACTATGCTGAGCCTTCATCTCCTCTTCTACCAAAGTCTCCACTTATTTGGTCAAATTCCTATTTACTGATCAATCATCCAGAGGGGGGCGCTGTCCTCACGTGTCCTGCGGTCCTATCAGAGCCCGCGCACAGAAGCCTCAGACTCTTTTCTATAACTTTTACATTTCCAGTGCAGCAGTAGTTTTCAGCATCAGCAGCAGTCTGAGACCATGGACTCCTGTGTTGACCTGTGTCTGTCTTTTGGGTAAGTGATGATCGAGAGGGAAATGAAAACGTGTTTAGTGATGTTTAATTAGATAGTAACAGTGTGTTACTGTGTAGGATCATTCTCATGCACGTGATGGGGCCACAGCTGCCCTGGGGCTAGATCAAAACGCTACAGTAACGGGTTTTCTGTTTCTTTGCACACCTACAGCCACTTTACGGACTAGTAGTAGTTATTTTGTTAGTATTATTAGTGTGAGCCTATAGTCGGTGTTATTATTTTTTTATACTGTTTTTGTGTAAGTAGTTGTACTCTAATGTAATGTAACGTAAAGTAAGTAAGTAATCTTTATTTATATACCGTCTTTCACAGACCGCAGAGTCACAAAGCGGTAAACCTCTTACATGGTTCCTAGCTGGGGTATAATTTTCTACAGAACGACAATAATAACATTTATGTAACCAGTTCAAGGTCTTAAAACTGTTTGGTTAAATCTATAGACTTTAATGATGGACTTGACCAATCCCCCTGCTCTATGAAGAACAATAGGGAAGTGCTCATGGATGAAGTTTTGCTCCAACTTGCTCCCCTTGCTTGCATACATTGAAAAGTCCTTTCTCTCGCTCTCTGTGATCCAACCAAGTGATATATTTTGATGTTGTCTTCTACAAATGATATTGTAAATCTAGATATTAGCCATGGCTTCACCTTTTCCCCAAAGACAAACACATTTAGTTCATTATAATTACGTGTAACGAACTCTTGACAAAACTACAACATGCGACACATTAGTAACGACCATCTTGTTACAATGCGTTACAACATGTTTACTCCTGCTGTCTTAACTGAGGGACTTTAAACAAGACACAGTGGATGACACAGGAAACAAACAGAGGCAGAGACCCTCAAATAAACGTTTTAACAGAGTTCCAAACTTACATGTATTTTTGTATTGCCCTGAATCCCAACAGTAGTTATCTCGGAAGATTTTTATAAAGCTGGCGATTCACCAACGCAGATCAGAGAATCAAACAGTTCAAACACAGGAAACTCAACGATCAAAAACACATAGAGCCATCGGTCCATAAAGAGTGTGTGACCCTGATGGACCACACCTGGTGCCCTGTTGTCTATGACATGCCCCAAAATGCGTAGCCTAAATTTCTGTTCAGTAAAGTATTCTTATTTGTCAAGACTTCCTCAAATGTCCTCTTTTCTCAAATGTTAGCAGTGTTTTTCTTCACTGTTATCCTGATGAGCACCCGACAGAAACCGACCCAATGAAGCGCTCGTCTTTCTTGATGTTTTAATCCCACACCTCCCTCTGGCAGATTAGGAATAGGGAAGGCCTTGATACTTGTTTCACTTTATAATCTATACCAAAGATATTATTTCATATTCTAGAACATGAATCATTGTTAATATTTCTTATTGACCAAAATTAAAGTGATAGTCTGTAACTCTAAATGAATTACACATTTTAGGAAAAGTGTTAAATTGACCTCCTGGCCTTAAATGTTGATATAAAATAAGTAATTTTATCAATTCTAATATTCCGGGCAAGTCCCGCCTTCCCTGCTCTTAGCTATAGTTCAGAATCCACGATGCCGTCCACGTTAACCAATCGAGTCGTGCCAAGGGCTGTCAATCATCGCGCTTGTTTGTTTTCACAGAGCCTCTGAATCAAGCCTCTATTAGGCTCTGGAACTACATGAAAACTGAACAAAGAATTCTGAACATCCGCGCTGAGTAAACATGTATATACTGACCCTATATCCATAATCAGATCCTCTGCAGATGTGTTCTATAATGTTCAATTCATGATAATAGCTTGTTCCTGGTTTGCCGCGATCACTTTTTTTGTGCATAAAAACATAATTTTTTTCATTAAAACGTTAACAAATAATTCTGAAAACCTCCGTGCATGTGTATTAATAATGTATATGTATAATGTGTTCTCTGATTAACATTTAAAAGTGTTAAGCCTAGCGTACATCGGACTGGCAACTGATTATATCCGTCGCATATGAGTTGCTGCCCCGCACACATCGACAATCTGACGAAAACGGGCAACTCCCAGTCGCAGACCAGTCTGGGGAATAACAGCGCGTACATCTACAGCAACTGTCCGTCAACTACAGTGTGTTTTCTGACATAAACTGTTGCGGGCTCGCAACACACGCAATCATCGGTCATATCTCCGAAACTGAGGACAACTAGTTGCCGAAAAGTAGAACACGGGCAACTGACTGAAACTGGAGACCGACTGATCATCTCCAGTTGTAAGAGCGCGCACATCGACCGATTTCGGCAACTGATCATCTCCCACCATCTCCTCTCAGTTGCCAAAAGCCGCCTTGCAACTAGTTGTCCCCAGTTTCTCTGTCGATGTTTCTCTAGGCATTACGGAAACGTAGACCAATCAGAAAGGAAGGGGGAGGAGCTTGCATCGTTTTTTTCAAATCCCTCTCTTTTTTTCTGACAAACTGCAGACAATCACTTTAATATTTCTACTTAAAAGTCAATCAGTGTGAAGGCGCCCTCAGAATATAATTATTGAAATGCTCCAATAACACTTTAGATTCTTTTCCACGATGGCCCTCCCCAGTGTGTGTGTGTGTCTGTGTGTGTGTGTGTGTGTGTGTGTGCACAGTCTGCCCGCCTGGATGGCTCCTCTGTTGCATGCAGCCAAGCATCTGCGCAGTGACGTTGCGTCCAGGAGGAAGGTCTACAAACTGCTGCAGCGCAGACTGGTCAGTGCTGGCCGCTTTCTTTACAATTATTCCTGAATAATAGAAACAAAACTCCAGAACTTAAAGTAGCAATATGTAAGATTTTCATGTCAAGTCATCATTAAACGGCCCCTAATCTAAAGGCATTAATAAACCAGGCCATTACTTCTTTAACTGATAACAGTAGTTCAGGGATTTTTGAATTTCAAAATTTGTTTTACAACCCCTAAATCTTGTTTCATTCCAATGTCCTGCTCTCCACTGTTTTACCAATCAGAAAGTCCGTGATCCAGGTTGCCAGAACCTCACCTCACTGCACCGAGCTAATCTCATTAGTAAAGTAACATGTGGCCGCAGAACTAAAAAAGGTCTTGTTATGATTCTCAAATCTTTCCTGACAAAACAAGGATTTCCATCAGGGCCTTTGTGAGAAAAGTGTTGGTTATAGATTTGTTGTTGACAAAACTCTTGGCTATTCAGTTATTATGGTCCCACCTTAAGTCATCTGCATATCTGGCAACCTGAGTGGGGAGCGTGCAGAACCACTTTTAGCCAGATTTGTACATATTCCTCCTTTAAGCCTTCATAATTTAATTTTTGGAGCAGCATCATCAGACTTTCAGTTACACGTTTATACTGTGGAAAAGCTGAGTTCAGAGAAAGGGAGGGCAGAGCTGTGACAGAAGCACTGAAGACAATACAAGATTAGACATGCGTACATTTTAGATTAAATTATGAGAAGAGAGAGAATGGAAATGGAATGGAAGTTACAATTCAAAGTACTCAGGTTCTGTTGTTTATGAGAGCCGGTTATATGAATGTATGCATAGAGAGATAGTGAAGAATGGGGGCTGGGTGGTTTTATTATAACTTGTATCCATCTACTTTTATTTTACTGTTTTACTACGACCTGCTCAGGTGTAAATTAGCACTGCTGCTACAACCTGGTGCAATGCATCTCTCCTCATGTTTATTGTACACTGTCCCTGTGAAAATAAAAATCATACCATACCATACCTTACAAAACAAATGAAATAATTGTTCCCATGGCGATGACCAGAGAAACTGCGGCGTGGGCGTGACTGCGGACTCCGGACGCAGTCCCACATACGTATACCCCGACGAAGTGAAGAGGCTGGTACGCTCCGTCTTCCCCCAGGACTTGTGTGGCTACCAGGACCCCACTCACCCTCAGGTACGACTGCACACACCCTCCAGGGGAAAGTCTGCCACCAGATCTTAGCTTTAAAAAAAAACTTCAAACTACATTAAAGGTCCCATATTTTGCTCTTCTTCATTTTTCACAGTCCTAAGCACGTGTGTGATAGTTGGGTGGTATACCAGAAAACACTAAAAACTTGTGAAAATGTTGCTATTTCTTGCATAAACGTGATGTCTGCCTCAATAGAAACGAGCTGATCTCTGCTCATAGCCTCACGCTGACTTGGAGGTAAACACTCAGCGTGGGACACCGGTACATAGTCATTCCAGACTTGAGAATCCATTCTTCCAACAATGTCAATTCGTCATGTAAAGCCCTAGTCCTCGAGCCAGAATTGGATCCTGATTTTTTAGTTGAGTAGTTTGTGGCACTGTACTTACAGATCTATGCGCCTCGTTAGTGTCTTTTATTGTGGAACGATCAGCTTTTGCATAAGTCTCATGGTTCCCGCAGTTCTGCAGGAGTCTTTGGTGAAATGTCACTTGCAGATTCATTGTTGATCATACACACTTTCCCAGCTAAAAATACCATACATTGAAATTAAATATGGGTGTGTGAAAGTGAGACATTTTCTCCAAATATTTAAAAAAAATGTATTCAATGAGTTTATGTTATACATATTAAAAACATGTTCTGCACTAAAAAAGGTTTTTTTTTGCAGAATTTCAGGATTAACTTAAAAACATTAAGGAAACTTCCAATGTACTTGTGTTTTCTACCGATTGCACAACTTGCTAAATAACAATAATATGCTTAAGTTTGATCCTATGAATTAGAATGGTTCAATTAGAATTGTATTTAAACAGATATCATCATGCTGTGCACATTTACCTCAGACTGAGCGACCTGCAATTCTCCAAATCCTCTATGAACCAGCTTACCCTGTACCCGAGACCCCAGGGCTTCCCTTCCAGAAGTTTTTGAGAATTAGTATTTATTTATGCTGTAATATAACCAAGACTTTTAACATAATGCTTATTCGAGATTCAATTAGATTAGAGAATTATCATAATGATGACAATGATACGCCCGAAAGCCAAATATCCCTAACCTTTAGCCAGTATGTTCTTATAGAACTTGTGACTGCTTGTCTCCAGGTGGTGTATGTGACGGTGGAAGACCTGCACAGGGTCCCTTCAGACCGACCGTCTGCAGTTTGAGCCTGGAAATGGCTTTGTTCAGGTCCAATTGTTTTGTTCCAAATAAAGTTTCATACTGACATATACTTACTACTTTCTTTTCCACTGATTTTCTGAAGAAAAAATGCTTATTCATTGTAAAGCGAACAGATATAGCAGCTGAGGTATTTCACAATAAACATTATTATTAACTACACTGTGCAGAAGAGGGGAGTGGTTGGAATAGTCCATGTGCAGGTGAGAGGGATCGGCAATGATACGTGAGTAAATGTTGTATTTTACTCACTTTTAAGTGAGCAAATGTTGCAATGGTGCATTTCAAAAGTAAAACATAATTTCCTTTAAAAAATATATATATAGACCAGCAATGCACATGAGCAATTACAGAGTAATTACACTTTGAAAACTAAAAGCTGTCAAATTGACTGCTCTGGGCGTTCTAGTGTCAAGTCAAGGTTGTGATCGTTTTCTTGATAAACTTACTTTTGAAACGATGTATAACGCTGTATTTGCACAGACTAAGCGGGAGCACTGACATTGAAATTAGATGTCCAATTGGGAGCCTCAAAATACATGAGGCGGTCCGCGGGCCATGTTTGGAGCCAGTGTAGTCATAGCATAGACTGTACAGACATATAAGACATACATAATCCTCCTTATATGAGTGTCCTGGTGGTGACCGCGCACTGCCTCTCCTCGTCAGTAGGGGGCAGTAGCACTGCCTCTCCTCGTCAGTAGGGGGCAGTAGCACTGCCTCTCCTCGTCAGTAGGGGGCAGTAGCGCTGCCTCTCCTCGTCAGTAGGGGGCAGTAGCGCTGCTCTCAGCCTCACACTCGGAAACAAGAGGAAGAGGCTGTTGCGAAAGCGAAGAGCAGTCTGACATTGGTATCATCCACGCTCCTGGAGACCACACTGGACACAGGTATGTTCCCGGAGCACTCGGAGCCACCGTGTGTGTTGTATCTGACTGTGTGTTTGTGTGTGTGTGTGTGTTTGTGGGTGTGTGTGTGTGTGTGTGTGTGTGTGTGTGTGTGTGTGTGTGTGTGTGTGTGTGGAGCCTGTGGTCAGTGGACTCCAGCCTCAGCCGTCCACCGTCCACTGTCCACCGTCCACTGTCCACCGTCCACTGTCCACCGTCCACTGACCACCGTCCACTGTCCACTGTCCACCGTCCACTGACCACCGTCCACTGACCACCGTCCACTGTCCACTGTCCACCGTCCACTGACCACCGTCCACTGTCCACTGTCCACCGTCCACTGTCCACCGTCCACTGTCCACCGTCCACTGTCCACCGTCCACTGTCCACTGTCCACTGTCCACCGTCCACTGACCACCGTCCACTGACCACCGTCCACTGTCCACTGTCCACCGTCCACTGACCACCGTCCACTGTCCACTGTCCACCGTCCACTGTCCACCGTCCACTGTCCACCGTCCACTGTCCACCGTCCACTGTCCACTGACCACTGTCCACCGTCCACTGACCACCGTCCACTGTCCACTGTCCACTGTCCACTGTCCACTGACCAGGGCAGAGCAGGCGACCTCCGGGAACGGACTCATGTAACTCTGGAGCTGCTGAATAAACCTCTCTCATATCGGCTTTAAACTTTTAGTTTCTGCTTTTATCAACTCGCAAATAACTCAAACACGAGTTGGACTATGTTTCTTTTACAAACATGTTTATATTGTAAACATGTCAGGTTATCTGTGCTCACTGTCAGAGCCACTAAAACAGCTTTACTAATACTGCTGATCACTATCACTGTGGATAGAAATGATCTTAAAGCTTTTAGACCTTCTTATGGAAAGGGCTAGGCCCCTAACCATTTCCTAATTTAAAGCAGGGTTATGTATATCACAATCAATCCACTGAAAAATATCTAGATGTAATGTGTCTAGTTCTCATCTTTCATTTCATCAGTGTTCACACATGTTTGACTCTGTCAATGTTTTCATACAGAAAGTTGAAAAAAATGAATGAGCTCTGGGTTAAAGCAGTGACGTTGGACTCTTTCTTACATGTATGTAACATATACATGTCATGAAAACATGTGGCCTGATTTGTTTATTACATATTCCTTTCCATTGAGAAACAACCTCTAATATTTACCATAGAGGAACCTTATAAAGCAGTAAGAACTTAGACAGTGAAAATGGTCAAGTTAAGAACACTTTAAGTTTCATTGCTTAAGTTGGCGATTTCCCATTCAAATTAAATTCTCATAGTGATTATTAACACTTATGCTGGCCTGAGGCACAGCAGTGGTCCTGTTTCACAAAGGTCACCGGTTTTCTCCTTACAGGAGCCTTACAAAATCTTACAGGAGGAATCTTTCATTAACAAGCCGAACAATAGTTCAAGAAATCACCAAATGGCCAAATGTGTACCATGTGAGTTTATAATTCCTTATAGTTTGCAGTTGTTCTTTTTAAAGTGGTCAGGACTTTATGTTGTCATGATGAAGACAGTAAATGGCCAGGTGACTGACCAAAGCAACACAATATTGTGAGCTATTTCACAATACTCTGAGCCTCTCCACACAAAGTTTGAGTGGTTTCGAATTTAAAAGGACAGGACTTTGATAACTTAAAGGGTTTGGGTCTAGGACTAGATTGCACAATGGTTTTTTGGCCTATGGTAAGTGCATCCTTAAGTAACTTCTTTTTTTTTTACCTTGATGAAAATATCTTTATTCATGGGTGCCCCTCGACTTGCTCAATTTCAATATTTCACACTAACAAATATTTCTCTTTTCAGTGTACAATGGGTGCGTCCCTGACCGCTTCGGCATCGCCAACTGTCAGAGCAGAGGCCATGGCTGTCCCCCCACAGGGCTGCCCCATGCACCAGGACACTCCCTCTATTAAAGGTTAGCCTCCATCCTCACTTTTCTCCCTCTTACCCCTACCCTGTCATTTATAGATAGCTGGATAGATTGATGGACAGATAAGATAAGATGCAATGATTTCTGTTATGTTTTATGTAATGGAAAAACATTGTTCTTTCCCACAGCACCTCCACCGGAGTGTCCAATGCACCAGGCCCAGCCCGTCAGAGGTGAGCAGGATTTTTCTGTTCTCAACTTCTAAAATAAGCACAAATGCACGTTTTCCCGTTCTCCCAGAGTGGCATCCAAAACTATCCTTGTGCCATAACATAGTGTTGAGAGTGAATGCAATGCCCTCTAGTGGATCCCAGACCCAGTGATGGGCAAGCTACTTGATTTGTGTAGTGAGCTAAGCTACAAGCTACTCTACAATAAATTCAGCTTCACTACACAGAAGCTCCACCCATACAAATGTAGCAAGCTAAGTTACAAAATTCTGTCAAAAGTAGCTTGCTATATAGAAGCTATTTTCAATTAAACAAACTGCGGTTCATGCAATTTTATATTTTCCTGCATTAACATGTTTTCTCATTTCTTATTTTTTGCACAATTCTTGAGTGTTTTATCCATGCCAAATGTGACATGTAAATGTCTCCTGTGTGAGATTAATAAAGCTTATCTTCTTATTTGAGATAAACTGTCAGTCAGATAAAGGTTAATTTTTTTTAGATATTTATTGAACAATAGCCCAAAACACCAAAAACAACAAAGAGTAGGCATCTGAAAACATATTTCTTTTCGCTCATCTCGACTAGAGTGACGTACTTTTGGAGGTATGGCCACGGTACAACACTTTGAGAGTCCTTATCATGGTCCTCCTCCACCGCGGCGGCTCCTGGGCTCTCTGCCATGCTTTTGCTTCCCCCAGTAGCACGCGCGCATGTGTGTGTGTGTGCGTGTGTGTGTGCGCGTACGCTCGTGTGTGTGTGTCGTTACCAAGCCCTGCGCATGCGCATCAGCATTCTGTCTTTCTATATGTTTGTTTTATGCTGCGGGAAAATGCTGTAATATATGAACATCAGAGATGTCCGTGAGAAAATAGCTTTGGCGGACGCTACCGCGCTACTTGAGCAATAATATAGCTTAGCTACAGAAAAATTACTAGGTTTTGTAAATAGTGACGCTACTGTCAAGCTACTGAAAAATGTAGTTAAGCTAGTAGCGACGCTACTTGTAGCAACGCTACTGCCCAGACCATAGACCAAGTGCCGGCAGTTATTTTCTACACAGACCACATTGCAGGGCCGGACTTGTTTTCATTTGGTTACTATATTTGGGTGTAAGCTACTTAAAGCTGCACTAACTGACTTTATTTTTGTATTCATTACAAAAATGCTATCCATGTCCGTGTAGGGCATTGGGATATACGTCCTTTTGAAGAAAAAGTAGTGCAGATTTGTGCTGGCCTGACATTATATTTTAGATCGAGTTTTGATGAAACAAGGAAGAGAATGTGTTTCGGGTCGCAGATTGTGACCAATCACAGCGGACCACTGGCCCCCACTTTTGTGAGAAATCTACAGGTCTCTGTTAGCACAGACAGCTGAGTTAGCACAACAAGCCGAGGAGCTAACCTGAAGCTTCGTGTCTTCATCACCGGTTACTGCTTACTCAGCGAAACAGCCATCCAAAAGAAAGTCCCATTCCTCCGCGCTTCCCGGTTCTATCGTTCTGTGGTCACGCCATCCACGTGAAAATCCATATCCATGTATTATCCATATTGGGAGACGCTAGCTCCGTCCCAACAGTGAGTGTGTGTGGGGGCGATAGCTTCGTGGGTGCGGGGAGGGGAGCAGGAAGAGAGAGGCCAGAGAGTCCGCGGCTTCAAAATCCCAAAGTCAGTTAGTGCAGCTTTAAAATAATGACAGAGGTCTGTAATTTTCATCATAGGAACACTTCAACTGTGAGAGACAGAATGTGAAAAAAAAATCCAGGAATTCACATTGTAGGATTTTTAAAGAATTTCTTTGTAAATTATGGTGGAAAATAAGTATTTGGTCACTTCAAACAAGGAAGATCTCTGGCTCTCACAGACCTGTAACTTCTTCTTTAAGAAGCTCTTCTGTCCTCCACTTGTTACCTGTATTAATGGCACCTGTTTGAACTCATCTGTATAAAAGACACCTGTCCACAGCTTCAAACAGTCAGACTCCAAACTCCACTATGGCCAAGACCAAAGAGCTGTCCAAGGACACCAGGAAAAGAATTGTAGACCTGCACCAGACTGGGAAGAGTGAATCTACAATAGGCAAGCAGCTTGGTGTGAACAAATCAACTGTGGGAGCAATTATCAGAAAATGGAAGACATACAAGACCAATGATAATCTCCCTCAATCTGGGGCTCCACGCAAGATCCCGTGGGGTCAAAATGATCATGAGAACGGTGATCAAAAATCCCAGAACCACACGGGGGGACCTGGTGAATGACCAGCAGAGAGCTGGGACCAAAGTAACAAAGGTTACCATCAGTAACACACTACGGCGACAGGGAATCAAATCCTGCAGTGCCAGACGTGTCCTCCTGCTGAAGCCAGTGCATGTCCAGGCCCGTCTGAAGTTTGCCAGAGAGCACATGGATGATACAGCAGAGGATTGGGAGAATGTCATGTGGTCAGATGAAACCAAAGTACAACTGTTTGGTTCTGAGTTGCATCCCAAGAACACCATACCTACTGTGAAGCATGGGGGTGGAAACGTCATGCTTTGGTGCTGTTTTTCTGCTAAGGGGACAGGACGACTGATCCGTGTTAAGGAAAGAATGAATGGGGCCATGTATCGTGAGATTTTGAGCCAAAACCTCCTTCCATCAGTGAGAGCTTTGAAGATGAAACGTGGCTGGGTCTTCCAGCATGACAATGATCCCAAACACACCGCCCGGGCAACGAAGGAGTGACTCCGTAAGAAGCATTTGAAAGTCCTGGAGTGGCCTAGCCAGTCTCCAGACCTCAACCCCATTGAAAATCTGTGGAGGGAGTTGAAAGTCCTTATTGCTCTGCGACAGCCCAAAACATCACTGCTCTCGAGAAGATCTGCATGGAGGAATGGGCCAAAATACCAGCTACTGTGTGTGCAAACCTGGTAAAGACCTATAGTAATCAATTGACCTCTGTTATTGCCAACAAAGGTTATATTACAAAGTATTGAGTTGAATTTTTGTTATTGACCAAACCATTGTCCACCATAATTTACAAATAAATTCTTTAAAAATCCTGAATTCCTGGATTTTTTTTTCACATTCTGTCTTTCACAGTTGAAGTGAACCTATGATGAAAATTACAGACCTCTGTCATTATTTTAAGTGGGAGAACTTGCACAATTGGTGGCTGACTAAATACTTTTTTGCCCCACTGTAAATGGGGGATAGGGTCCACAGTTTGTGGATGGAGAAAAGTCTGAGGGTCACATTGAAAAGTGAATGTATGTGGTGTAAGATGCATATAAAAGTTTTCTTGCTGCAGTGTCGCCTCCCTCGGAGTGCCCCATGCACCAGGCGTCACCAGGCCCCGCCCACCAGGATCGTGCTTATGAGTTTGTGAAGGGAGCCAATGACATTGATCCTGCCAACATGGTAACTATAAGAAAGTCCAAAGTGTCTGTGACCTGTCGTCTCCTTCTAGAGAATTATTGATACTGTTTATCGGTCGGCCCCCCGTTTCAATCCATGCATAACTATAAAACTATCCACGCTGCAGGATTCACTGAAGCGCTGTGGCCGACCTGCCCTTTTTCTGAATGAAGCCACAAGGGGAGTGGCTCCACTCAATGTTTTTAGAGAACCAATCACAGCACTCCCTCTCACCCATAGAGAAAGTGGCAGACTGTTTATAAATCATTTATGTACACAGGCCACTTATATTTATATTGGTTCGTGTGCTCATTATTCTGGCTGTCCTCTGAGCTGCAACACTCACTTTCTCTGACATTTACTTCAAAAGGAATGAAGGTTTTATCTCCCAAACGAGAGCCCTTTCTTGCATTTAAAGGTCCCATCTATCGCTCTTCCTCATGTTTCACAGTCCATCCTAAGTACATGTGTGATATTAATTTGGGTTATACATCGTTTGCAAAGAGGTGATGTCACTTCAATTGAATCAAGATGATCCCTGCTCCTCTGCCTGTGAGCCCGCCTCCCCCCACTCACGCTGTGATGTAGCCTCACGTTGACATTGTTAACACACAATAGCCAACTGTTCAGCTTTCACCAGTACATATCAGACCTGAGAAGAAACGTTTCCAACAATGACAAACTGACACATAGAGCCCTGTCCTCGATCCAGAATCAAACCTTAATTTTTTATTTAATAACACTGGTTTCCAGATCAGATTTTGATTATGTCCAGTTTCATGGTAACTGTAGTTCTGGAATAGTCTTTAGTGAAGTGTCACACGCAGAAAAACAGATTTGCAGCAGATTTGCTGTTTAGATTTGTCATTCCCCTCCTGGATTTTTGTATTATTTATTACTATTTTGGACAACATATTTTCTATATGTTGTTGTAGAACCAGACGCTTCCGTGTCACCCGCGTCATCAATGTTGTGTTCGTCAACGATGTGGACCTAGCGTTTTACTGCCTCTCGAGAATAAACGAGAAAGATTGCTTTCTAGAGCGTATGAAGGCAAAATGGTACTGTAGTGATGTTCAAAGCAGAGAAAAGTCAAAAAACGTTATTTGGAACCTTTTAAGTGATCTGTGTGTCTGACTCGAGCTCAAAGGATGAACACGTTTTAAATTGCGCTCCTGAAATGCATTTTCACCTGTGTATTACAATCCACACATTAATTGGGAGAAGAAATGTACCTATTTGGGTTTTCTAAGACGTTGATGTATTATTTATTATATTAAGATAATCTTATGCATTTGCAGATGCCACCTCCAAATCAGAATCCAGCTCCAGACCAGCCCTTTCCTTTGTCTGTGTCCCGCGAGGAGTCTACGATTCCACGCCACGGTATAAGCAACAACTGGGTGTACCCGTCAGAGCAGATGTTCTGGAACGCAATGCTGCGCAAAGGGTACGTTGGAACTACTTCAAAGACTGTCTCCAGCCAAATACATAATGATCTAATTTATTAGAAAAAAATACATTGACATAATTATCCCAATATTACGTGTTTGTCCAAGGCTGTAAGATGAGGTAGACTGTGGTGGTCCATACGTTGCATTTGACCCGTCCTCCTTCCAATGCCGCAAGGGCGACCTCACGTCCCCAAGTGCTGTGGGTGTGTTGTCTTTTTTATTTTTATTTTTAATTAATTTTGTACTTTTTTGGGGGAGGGGATTCAATTTTTGAATGGGTCATGTCCCCTTTAATTGACATACTTAATTAATGGGCGACACTGTTTTGGCCATTCAATTAAATAAAACAAATATTAGAATTATTTTGGTGTTATACATTTTTGGTTTACAAATAATTCTTTGAGGTTGCAAGTGCACTATTTGCCATTGTGCTTTTGTGTGGCAGTATTTCTGTGCTGGTGGGAGAATGAGAGAATGTTCATGTTCATGACACACGTCCACCGGTTTTCTTTTTGGTTCATCCATATTTTAAAACTGCATTAGTAACCGTGTAGTCCTATAATTTGGTCCTTCCCAGGTTTTGGCTCAGTTGTAACATGGTAGTTTCCGAAAGCCAAATATTCAGGTTTGAGAAGAACTGATCGTTTGGAGTGGAGCGTGATGAACTGTCTTCTGTGTCCTGCAGGTGGCGCTGGAAAGAAGATGACCTCGCTAAGGATGACATGACCAACATAATAAAAATTCACAACCGCAATAATGAGCAGGCCTGGGAGGAGATCCTCAAGTGGGAGGCCCTGCACGCCCAGTGAGTGCAGCACACAAACAAAGAAACTGCCCCAACCCAAAGCAAACGAGAAAAATGGTTTTGGGAAAAAACATGGATTCTGTCTTCCTCATTAGAAGATCCTATAGGCTCTGCTGTTGACTTGTAAAGAATCCCAGGTTGGGTGGTGTAGAGCCTGGCCAGACAGACGCTCCTCTTTCCTGTTCAAAATAACTGTAATTTCACAATGATTTGTCTGTTGCTTCAATCACTTACACTTTCTTGTGTAAAACTTCTTAAAAAAGTAACACGACCTGGCGCTCGTCATATGGATTTTTGCCTCGCACAGTGATGAGGCTCACAGTGACACGGCTCTCATTGAACATACCTAGGACAAATGCTGATGCTAATGGTATTTTAAGACTGCATCAGCTCCACACACACAGAACACAAGTACTAAACATTGGAAAGAATGACTGCAGAAACACTCAAGGTGCTTTACCAATCTGATTTCCTTCTGCTTACATAAAATGGACATTGAAAGAAATTGCAAATAAATGAGGCCCAGCACCACAGACCAAGCCCCAGTGACCAGAGATGTCTGCCCACTGTGCCCAGTCTAATCAATTGTCTGTGCTCATTGCCACCAGGGTGAAACATGAGCCCTGGTGTCAGAAATATTAGCGGAAGTGATGTATTTCGCTGACCTCTGGTACTATGACTCTTGCGCTCTGGTACTTCTGCAGGCTGAGGCAAACACATAAGCTTCCTGACCAATCAGCAGTGACTGTAGAGAGCGGCGCTGTTCGCGCTGGTGCACAGCCTGAGTGTTCACAAGGACTTTGATGAGCACCAACATCTAGGGCCTGGCTTAAGCTAGCAATAACCTTTCTAGATAATATAATACAACCATGCCTTGTCCTTCTCGGGAAGACTTTTTAAGTTAGTTGTACCAGAGGTCTGTCTGTGCAACACTTTAGAAAGTGCCTAACTTACAGTTTTCACTATTCTAGAATTCCCTGCCTGATAAAGTAATTTTATTTCTCTTATTATCAACGTAAATTCAATTGTGCCCATAATTTGCTTTGGTGCCTTTTTGATAAATGTACCACTGTTAATTATATTAGAATCAATGAATTGTTTTTGTTTGAGCTGCGCTTCACTCACATCTAACTCGTAAATGTTTTTCTGCTTGTGTTATCTCTGCAGGGAGTGCCCATGTGGCCCAACACTGAAGAAGTTTGGGGGGAAGGCAAAAGAGTATTCTCCCAGGGCTCGCTTACGCCACTGGATGGGGTCAGTGCTGCTCATATAATAGGGTTCTGTTTTCTGTTGTCCATCCATCCATCCGTCCATTTCTAGGCCGGGGGGTGGTGACTACAACTTAAGTACTGAACTTTAGCAAATGTGTCAATGTTTAATACCGTAAACCTAGATTTTATTTATATTTTTCACTGAATGTTCATACATTAGGAGCACACTTGTGTCTGAAAGTCTCAATTTACTGGTCAACCTACGTAACCGAAAAGACAAGACGGTGGATACAAGTGGTTGAAATGAGTTTCCTACACAGCGTAGCTGGGCGCATCCTTGAAGATGGGAAGCTCAGTAACACGGGAGGAGCTCGAAGTAGTGCCGCTGCTTCTCCACGTAAAAAGAGAAACTAGTTGAGGTGGCTCGGGCATCTGTTCCAGATGCTTCCTGGATGTCTCCCTGGGGAGGTGTTCTGGGCATGTCCCACTGAGAGGAGACTGGAGAAGACCCAGACCACTAGAGGGACACTTAAGTCCTGGCCTGGGTGCACCTCAGGATTCCTCCAGATGAGCTGGAGGAAGTATGTGTGGACAGGGAAATCTGGCCGTCTCTGTTTAGACTTCTGCCTCCGCGACCCAGCAACGGGTAAAGTGGAAGAAGATGGATGGATGGACAAACATCCATTATCTTCTTCTTTATAAAAAAGAGCCCACTGGTGTGAAGCACAAGTACTGTGAGGACCTTAGAGCTTTGGTCAGAGTGTAGTTGTCACTAAACCAGAGGTTAGAGGTCAGGGATACTTTTAAGCGTGGTTCGGAGCCGGCGCATGTGAAGCCAGATCCCTGATTTGTATGTTTTATATCTACAGGTACGAGCTCCCATTTGACCGTCACGACTGGATTGTCGACCGCTGTGGCCATGAGGTACGCTACGTCATCGACTACTACGATGGAGAAATCAACAAGGAAAACTACCAATTCTCCATCCTCGACGTCCGGCCTGCTTTTGACTCTCTGGGAGCAGTTTGGGATCGGATGAGGGTGGCGTGGTGGCGCTGGACCTCCTAATCACTCCCTCGCACACTTGACTTTGTTCGCAGGCTTCCTCCACTTCTGTTGCTTCCCTAGAACAGATCAGACAACCCTAACCCTCGAATAGTTCATTTTCAAGCCTTTTCAACCATTAGCCGCCTTCAATCTCAAACATCTTGATTTGTTTAACTACTTCAGAATGTAATTTAAATGTAAATGGATTTGCTGAGTTAAATACATATATATTTTTTTTGTCTTACAATTTAAGCGCTATGTACTAAAACGTATGCTTCCCACAGAATATAATCTTTGCATCTCTCAGTCTGTCAGGGGTGTCACCATTTGCGGTGTGGCCCCAGGGAGCCCCGCTAGTTTTGCCTGCTGAAGTCTGTTACGTTCAACAGGGCTTTCCCGTGGGACGTCTGGGCTAAAAGGTGAGAGTCTGCGTTGACCTTTTTTTTCTGAGGCAATGAAACTTCTTTCCCAGTCATTTCATGCAACTGTAAATTTGAATGAGGGTCATGCTCGTCTCTGCACTTCCGATTTGACCTTTATTCGAGGCTGTAAACAGATTTTTTTAACATGTACAAATAAAGTTGGATTGCTGTGTCAAGTTTCTTAAGTTGTCCGTTACTATGAAGCATATAACATACACTCAACAGACACTTATTAGGTACACCTTGCTAGTACCGGGTTGGACCCCCTTTTGCCTTAAACTGTCTAAATCCTTCATGGCATTGATTCAACAAGGTACTGGACACATTCCTCAGAGTTTGGTCCATATTTTTGATGGCAACGTGCAGTTTCTGCAGATTCGTCAGCTGCACATCCATGATGCGAATCTCCTGTTCCACCACATCCCAAAGTTGCTCTATTCTTGGCTCGCAGTCACGTGACGCATGAACTTCAGTTGACGAAGTAGTGGTCAGGCCAGCAAAAGTTTCCGCTGGTATACGAAGAAAATGCGACTCTTCCGAGTATTTCTTTGCTTTTTGGATATTTCATGACACTTTGGAGCTACTGTGGTTAACGTTCTAACTCATTCTAACAATATCCAAGGCAGTATCTTTGACCCAATTGCAATTATAGCTCCAAAGTCTATTATTGTATTATCTTTGGCACTCTTGTGTAGACAAGGTGATTAATATAATTGTTCAGGTATCTTCCTCAGCCCCCGCCTCCTGCCCTCTGCTCTCGTCTCAGAGAACCAGGGGGTTTGAAAGCCCGGTTATCGTGGACATCATATCCATTTTATTTATATTACATCCGTGGAATAACATCAGTTTAAACTTTTTTTTAGAAAAAGCCAACTATAATTTGAGCACATTGACCTATCATCTGGGGACACATATTAAGCAGAGGGTTTAGTTATTTTATCCTTTCAGTACTGATTTATTGGCATGTTGTTTGAAAGGTTGTTGATTGAATTTAAGAAAACCATTCATTATATAACTTGGCTGCCCTGGAAACAATACATTTTAAAGTAAATGAACAAAGATACTGTGAGAACACCTTTTCATTACCTATGACAACATACACCAGAAACCTATTTAACACTAGACCCCCCAGAATTCTGAATCTGCAATAACTTCCAGAGCAGTCATTGTGACTGCTCCCATTCAAATGAATGGAATTCTAGTTTTAGATTTTTTCTTTAATACAGGCTAAACTGAAAATAATTGAAATACTGCAACATTAAATACTAATAGCTGCAAGGAAACAGTGTGTTGTTATGGTGACCAGTAAATATAAATGAAATATATAATAACTTAAAACTAACTGCTGTAAGTAAACAGAGTTAATCTGAATATCTGTTTATGCTCTGTACCAATATTTCATTAAAATAACTATATAGAAACAGGAAAAGTCACAAAGTCATGAAAACCAAAAACATCCAGAAGTGGATTAATTACACAGCCGTCAAAATGACTGCTCTGGGAATTCTTGAGCGAATCCCTCTCTCAATGTGGATTTCCTCGAGGTTTCTCACTTTTTCCTTGCTGATGCAGGAGGGTCTTTTGGACAGTTATTGTCTAACAAAAGGGACTGTGGTGATGATCCAGGACACTTTAACATTCTATAACATCTATGGACATTTATCAACATGTGTTCTATACTCTTTGTGTCTTGGGGGGAGGAAGGACCTGTGTCTCGCAGGTCCTTCCTCCCTGCTGCTGTCAGGCTGTACAATGAGGATGTGTAACAAGAACTGCTGAGTCTGTACAAATGCCACGGATAATTCACTAGTAACTTTGTCACAAGTCACTTTACCTGTTATTAGTATTACTGCATTATTACATATCCATCTGATACTTTTCCCATTCACCAGTCACTTTACCTGTTGATATTATTTCTGATGCTTATGCTGCTCATATTTATATTCTCATATTCTCCGCCGCTAAGTACAAAATACACATCTGTAAATACGTCTGAACCAAGTGCAATTATAGCCCAGATTTTTATTTATTTTATTCTTTATCTTTATTTTATTGTCTATATATGAAATAATACTTATTCGATGTGTGCAATCTGAGTGCTCTTTTTTCCTTCTTTCTCTGCTGTAATGTACGCAACGATGACACTGAAATTTCTCCACTGCGAGACGAATAAAGGTTTATCTTCTTTTATCTTATCTTAACTGTTGATTCTCTGATCTGTGTTGGTGATTTCAATGGTTTTGTTAAGTCCTCTGAGATGACTTCTGATGTGATTTATGGCTATACAAGAATAAATTGTATTGTACTGTATTATATTGTGTCAACACATCAGTTTAGTTTTCATAAAGTAGCTTTCAGGCATTCCAGGTTTCATGATTCCCAAACATGATGCCATGCAGGATGTGTCCGCTGGGTGGCGGCAGTGAGCCCACTTCCTCTGAATCCGCCTCGAACAGACGCAGAACAACGGGAGACATCCTCAGCCTCCATTTTGAGTGCGGCGTGTTCCCGTGTTCCAGAGCAGTCTGACCAGAGACGACGACACAACAACCAAGCAACTCCGCGGAACAATGGACGGGTAAGTTTCGAGCTGCAAACCCCAGAAAGGCTTCGGTCCCGGCGTTGGTGTTAAACTCGATTATTGAATTGGATTTTAGTTTTTGACGCCTTTCGCCTGGCATCGGTGACCACAATGCCAAATGCTATTACGTCATATAAATGTTTCTAATTCAGGTTAAAGGCTAGTATAATTTAGATCATTTTGGGTTTTAGGTTGGTGCATTAAAAACGGGAGTCATAGATATCAGATTGTTGTTTGTGGAAGTGCCTCAGGAAACCTCATCTACGCGCTCGGCTAACGAAGCTAGCTTGTTAGCATTTCTGATCTGATCACTGTTCTAAACCATGCGTACAGGTGTGTGCATGATCCTCTACAGATAACACTTGAGGATAGCGTTTTTCACGAAGGGCTTTTGTGTTATTGTATTGGACAATAAAAATGTTGTCTTCTGTGCTAATCCTAAACCTGCTGTTCCTGCTCGATTGTTGGCGCAGACACCTCTGGCTTCCGCTCCTTGTGTGAGTCGCTCCCAAGATGTCTGCCCATTCAAACCAATGGCTTGCCTTTAGTGGCTTACGATTTCACCCTGGAGGCCGCAATTTTAGCGGAAGTGGCGCATTTTTGGAAATTTCTCGGCCTCCCAGTGTTCCAGAATCAGAATATTTTTTTACTGTTATTGTAAGTCGCAAAGTATGTGCAAGCAAGTTGTAAGAGGCATGCATGAAAATAATCTTAGCATTTCTTAAAATCACCGATTCAGATTAATTTGACTGTAAGCCACAGTGGAAGACAGCTGCAAAAGTCCCCAGTGTGCACAAGACAAGAACATTAATAAAACATGTTTTAACGAACAGAAGTGAAACAAACACAATTTTCACTGTGAAATCTATCAAACAAAAAGTTTTATTATAACTGCTTGTGGAAACAATGTCCTACATCTCGGAACAATATCAGCTGCCAGATGGAAGAAGCTGGAACATGGCAAGAACGTCCATAACAGACAGTCCAGTCCTCTTTCAGAGGGAGCACCTTGTTTAGATCTCTCCTTTCTTAAGCTGTGACGTTGCCAAACCGCAGTCACAGAACCAACAAGCAAATTCTCAATTGTGCGGGGATTATAAATTAAGCAGATTCTTGGCGTTAGGTTACTACTATACTTCCCCCCCAACCAATGGATTAAACCCTTTTTTAGAGTTCATGATGCCAAGGACCATTAGTCTCTCCAAAAGACTGACATCTAAGGAAGTCTTTTACAAAATACATAAAAACATCTGTTTCTGCCATGGAATGAATAGATATGGCCCAACTGACCGCACCATGTGTCAAAGGGGCCAGTCTGTCCACCGCAGGCGGATGGACAAATTATAATCGATCCTGTTTTGATGCATGTCTGGTTCTTTTTCCCATGTGCTAGTAACTACTAATCTGCCTGTTTTTCTCTCCCCCTCAGCTTAGGTGATGGTGCGATGGGGATGAAGGTGAGTCCATTATTCTTCTACATACATGATTTATTTATCAAAAGAATAGAAGCGCCCTTCAATTTTCACTTTAACTGCGGACATTGATTTATGGTCTCGACTGCTATTAATGGGTAGCTGTAACGGCCCAGGAAAATGGTTTGACCCCTAGTCTACTGTAGTTATTTAGTATGTGAATTGGACCGTTGGGTTGGACCCAAAGAGAACTGCTGCTGCAGAAAATGACAGTTCAATTCATTTTTTGTCATGTTAAATTCAGTGATTTTGCTTGAAAGGGCCCCACACTAATTGTTCTTTGTGTCCCACAGAGAGGATCTGATGAGCTGATGATGTACGATGATGCTCCTACAGCTGACACAGAGAGTGGTGAGTGCATGTTCTCACTAATGCCACTTCACATAAACATTGTGCAAACGTGCAGAAAGGTACAGACATTTCCTCACCAGGTTTCCCCTCGCTGTAGCTGCCGTTTTTTAACTATTTTCTCATAAAGATTTCTTGGAGCCATTTTCTTTTGAATGTATTTTTTGCGTCCTGTGCGGGTGGCACTAATTGCACACGGATGTTAGTCTCATGCATCTTTTGACCATTGTCGCATACCGTCATCGGTTTTTAGTTTTGGATGGCTATAAGCAATTGAAGGCCACAGTTGTGCTTTGGGGATGTTTCTGGGCAACAGACTTTCAACTCTCCAATTTTTTGTGTTGAGGTCTGGAGACTGGCCCTCCCACTCTTTCATTGTCAGTGTTGTATTTGGGACATAACATTATCCATCTAATAAACAATTTCTCAATGCAAGGCCTATTGACTTGAAAAGTAAACTATTGCAATAAGTTATGCCACTCACCATTTTTTATGTAAAAAAATCTATTTTCCCGCACTCTATGATCCTGGTGTTTATATTTTGTTTTGTTAATTCAGATCGTGGCTGGTCGATATGGAGAGAAAACTATGTTTATATATTTTGCAGTATATAGATTGATTCTATGTCTTAGATATTTTTTAAAGGTTACGGAAAATTGCCCCCCTCAAACTACTACTGTGACTTTTTTATTGAACCTGCAAGAGGGAGTCGGTTCTTGTTTAGTCTCTGGAATAAAGCCACGTTCAACTGTGACAAAAGGTTCCATGTCCACCGCTGTAGCGAGTGGGAGCAAAGGAAGGAGTCAGCGGCGAGCACAGCACAGATAAGGCAAATAAGCAAAGTGAAGCATAAACATATGGATATTTTCTATATCAAAATTCACCCCAGGTTTAAAGAATATCTACCGCAAATATCAACCCCTAATTCAGATGAGTCATATTTGGATTGTCCAGATGCCTTTTGTGGGGGCAATCCGCTCCTCATAAACTGTTTGGAATCATTGTCGGGCTGGAAGCCATGAGCATGGTACCTACTGCTCTGTTCGTGTGAAGCAATGTAGCTGCATTGTGTTGGTGTGCTGCACTTAAATATTCACAAATGATTCCATAAGTGCTTGTTTAGCAAAGAGACTGTACACCATCTTTATAGCTAAAGGTAGTCTTCCCAATGGCCTTTGCTTAAACTGCATACAGAGGATGTTCCACTCCAGCTTTTTCCCTTTGGCAATTGGCCTTCCTGTGTCTTTCCCATTCTGGCCGGCTTGTTTTTGTTAGCTACTGTCAGATAACTGAAACAGGAATGTTGCCTGGTGCCAACAGCTGCTGCTGTTGTAAGCCCCACACTGCCTCTAGGTGTTCTCCGGTCTCCCATCACAGAACTAACCAGGCCCTGCTCTGCTTGGTTTCGGAGGACTTTGACCTTGCCACCCGCACGGCCTTTTGTGGAGCTTCTCTAGAGCAGCTTGGGGTTTATTGTGTACTAAAAATTGGAAGGTGCGGAGAGGGAGATCAGCTGATTAAGACTGTATCCAGTTTCACCTGGTCTAAAGGACTATCAAAGTGTTTCATAGTCGTTGTGTATTGTTTAATCTGATAATTTACTTTTAATGGTCTTATGTTCAATTTCAGTTCATCAAAGCATATAATATATGTTTGTGGCACACAATAAATTGTACCAGCTTCCTGTCGTTCTTGTATAATAATAATAAATGAACCTTGGACTAACCATAAACTATTTGAATAGTTTATTAATGTGGGATTGTTAGCGACTTGGTGTATGCCTTTGAACTGTGGCTTTAAACTATCTAAGCAACATGGAACAGAAATATTTATTGCAGTGTTGTTAACGTCCTCTCTGTGACAGATGCGGTGTCCAATGGAAGCAAGAAGTTGAGATTTGAAGATGCCCCGCCCTCTCGAGTGCTACACATTCGGAAACTGCCCAACGACGTCATGGACACAGAGATCATCGCTCTGGGCCTGTCTTTTGGGAAAGTCACAAACATCCTGACTCTTAAAGGCAAAAACCAGGTGACTTGATTTTGTTACAGCCCTTCTGACCACCGCAGACACTGGATGATCAACGTACGAAACACTGCCGCCCTGGCCTCAATGTTGTGCGTCGGTGCAATATTTTTGTCAGAATGTGCAATATAGAAGCACATGTGTCCACAGTGCTCTACTTTGTCACTTTGTCCCAGACAGATGCTGTTAACATCCACAGATCTAAACATACATCTATATATTACTTACTGCACTAGAATGCACAGTAACTTGACCTTTTGTGGTAGAGCAGTTTGAAGGAGATTTTATACTTTATCATGCTAACGTTTTTGTACTCATTTTGCTGAAGATTGATACTTGTTTCTTGTTCATGCTAGATTTAGAGAATACAATGTAATACAGTAACGTAATACGTTATCGTATGGTAAAGTTCTATGGTGGTTCTCTTTTTGTGTCTTTTTATAAATTTTGTTTAATATTTCTCCCCTCTTTTTTTAAAACTGGTTTCCTCACTGTTCTCCAAAAGCCTAACCGGGGACATGGGCTGCAAATCGGCCTTTGGCCAGAAGCCCCATGTACTTTACATCAGTTACCTCTGGGTGACAATTTTTTTTTGTACTGTCCCTGTCAAATAAAAAGATCAGAAATTCCATTCTGAACAAAATGAATTGTTACAAGGTTTTTTGCTTTATGGCTTTAGAGATTACTGGAGATGGAGAAAATGGAGAGGTGGAAAGTTTAATTAAAAGATTTTATCACAAGGATAAAGTTTTCCACCTGTAACTCCTCACGCAACCACCAGAGGGAGTTTTTTAATATGATAGGTCTCCTTTAAGGTTGACTATGATAATGTGATGAGCCTAGTGCTTACTGTGCCACATGTTAAAGTGTTTTTTATTGTGCTTACAGGCCTTTTTGGAGATGGACTCAGAGGAATCTGCTGTTGCTATGGTCAACTACTACAACACGGTCACTCCTCATGTTCGTCACGTTCCCGTCTATATTCAGTACTCCAATCACAAAGAGCTGCGAACGGATCCCACCAATCAGGTCAGTCCCACTCTACAGTAGTGATGTATTAGATTCAGTGACCACGACAGTCCACCTCACATGTATGTTGTGCCCTGTGCTTCCAGAGGACTCAGGCCATGCTTCAGGCAGTCTCTTCAGTCCATTCCGACTCTCCTCCTCAATCTCAAATGGGAGACCTACTCAACATGCCCTGCAGTCCTGTGCTGCGGATCATTGTGGAGAACATGTTTTATCCTGTTACTCTGGATGTGCTGCAGCAGGTAGGAAATCACAAACACTTGGCTCATGAACAGCACACCGCAGGGCGGGGAGTTCATACTTATCATTGCTCCAAAAAAGGTTTAAATTCTCACTGTCTGTAACCTGTGTGCCACCCTCAGGTCAAAATGACCTGCCACAGATGAGTAAAAGTAGAAGTCTAAAATGGTGTAAAGGACCCAGGCCTGGTCAAGTTAGGAAAAATAAATCAGAAATCAACTCGACATAGTTTTAATCACTGTCGATTTATTCACTCGAGGATAGCACTAGCGATACTCTTCCTAGTTTTTATTGATAATTATTTGGTAACTATAAATTAATCTGATTTATTGTCAATCTCTACCAGACAATTGATGTTCTATTCTCCAGAATTGTTGGTATGGCACTGGATTTAGGCTGCACTTTCAGTTCACACACAATGTGTACTGTAATTGTTTGTGTTGTCCCCAGATCTTTTCCAAGTTTGGTTCAGTCATGAAGATCATCACTTTCACCAAGAACAATCAGTTCCAGGCCTTGCTTCAGTATGGTGAACCACTCCAGGCACAACGGGCTAAAATGGTAAGTCCAGTCCATGGTTCTCTGCTGAGCTGCATCAAAGCTGCTTTTTACCAGATTTTTCCCCGCAGGCTTTGGATGGACAGAACATTTACAACTCTTGTTGTACTCTTCGCATTGACTTCTCCAAAATGGTCAACTTAAATGTCAAGTACAATAATGACAAGAGCTGTGATTACACTCGGCCTGAGCTCCCTGGAGGCGGGCTCTCCCACATGGACTCTGTCGGTGGTGGCTTCAATAAAGGCACTGGTTCTCTGCTTGGTTCTATCCCCGGTATTGACCTTTCTCTTGTTTTCCCATCCCAAAAAAAACATTTTGGCACTGATCAAGTACATGCTCCTTACCGTTTGTGATATTTTCCAGGGGCTATGAACCCCATGAACCCCATGGCTGCGGTGGCGGCTACAGGCAGAATGGGTATGGGGCAGTCTGGCTCCACTCCAGTCGTCCTGGTCAGCAACCTGAACGAAGAGGTAACGCATCACACTTGCACCTCAAAGGACATTTTTATCTGAATCATACATTTACAGTGGCATATCAAGGTTTTGTTACTGCAATTTTAATTCACCCTTTATTTTGCCCCTTCAATGCCGCTTGAAAAATGGGTCAAATGCAGAGGACGAGTTTCCCCTCGGGGACAAAAATAATTATATCTTTGTTTTGACGTGTTCTAAATGATTGGTCACGTAAAAAGGCAGTTATTCATAGTTTGGAATTTAATATATTTTGATAAAAAACATTTTGTTTTCTCCATTTGATCCATCTTTTATCTCATTTGAATTATTTTTTTTTAATGCAAAAAGTTCAAAAAGAATGAAATCCGGTAATAATAATATAAACCCACACAGGAAGATCCTGCGACGCCACAGAAGCCAATTAGTTGCAAACACATCTTTCTACCATCGCATTCCATCTGTTTGGCAATCCTACCTGCAGACCCACACTCACAACCCAGTCCCAGTCGATTATGGTTAAAATAACAATGAATTGTTTATAGCCACTTTTAGCAATGTGTCGACCATGAATGTTTTTGAATTTGTAATATTTTGGTTTTAAAAACGCTAATTTTATTTGATATATTTAAACAAAGTTCTGTCTGAGCGAGTCTCATGCGCACCATGGGATGGACTAATGGTACAACCAGATTGTGGACCACTAAACTTTTTCTTGATATATTTGCTATGTTTTGTTTAGTTTTGCAAGTATCACTCTTTGGAAAGATTCACATGAATTACATGATGGCTTGTGTTTTGTTCCACAATGTTTGTTTTAATTGCCTGTTCTGATTGATTTGTAATGAATGTACCTTTACCCAATGCTTGTAGGGTGGAGTGCAGTACATTTGGCAGTGCTAATGTTTTTGAATCAAAACATTGTCCTGAGCCATGTTCTCTGACCAGACAACCTGCATTACTCCAATGTACTGACCTTTTTTTTTTGTTCTCCTTCCCCCACATTGGTTTTTGCTCCGGCCCATTACCCCCCCTGCTATCTCAATGTTGTGCCCAAATCCCCCATCCTGATTTAACCCCGTCCTCCCCACATCTGTGCTCGTCCATCATCCACCACTCCATCACTCTCCTGGGGGGAAACCAACCATTCCTCCTCCCTCGCTCTGGATCGATCTGTCCATCTCTGCTCCGCTGGCTCTGGCTCTACCTCTCTACTTGTCTCACGCTGCTTGTTGCTCTCCTGTCCCTCTAAAGATGGTTACGCCTGAAAGTCTGTTTACACTCTTCGGTATGTTATCGTTGGCTCAATTGTGCCAACAACACTTCTTTATATATTTTGTTTAGCCTGTTTGTTCACGTGTTGCAATAACCTCAAATCAGAAGTTACCCTCTATCCACCTTATTCTGCTCGGCTCATTTAAACACCACTAAGACAAATGTCGTGTAAGCATGCTAAAGTTTTTATATAGCAAACCCAGTTTAAGAAACCGCCACGTAACACTGCTTTAAGGTCGTGGTTGAACATTTCCTTAACTCATTTTTGATCTCTTAAAGTCTCTGTCAAAAAGCAGATATAAAGGAGTTTCTCTCAAAAGCCTAGTCTTCACTTTGACTTTTCGCATCCCTACTGTGGATTATGTCAATCAATTATTTAAAGCAGAGCTCATGTTGGTCTGCTGTGTCTAAGTGAGGCAGGGAATGTGCCTCACTTCCTCTGGACTGCTGTCGATCAGGCACCTTTTTGTAAATCCAGACGCTCACGGCTTCTTCCAGATTAAGGTGGATAGGTTGGGTTTGGACAGTTTTTTTTATCCCAATATAAATTCAAAGATTTGTGTCTAATGGGTGGTGGTAAACTTAATTTATAGACTTTACTTAAAATCTCGCCCACATAAAAGTCTAAAGTGTGAGCATGATACATCACATGGGCTGACCTGTTTTTATACCCGTATAAACCTACCATACGCCTTATCTGTATAATGTAATATTTTTAGCACACTGTCAAATCAATATTTATCTACATTTTAATAGCGATATGTTTACAATTCAGTATGAAATAAGACGAGGTTGCTTTGGTTTTTAGTCTTGGACAGTAATCTTAGTTTAGCTTTTTGATGTGTCATTTAGAGTTTGCCGTGATGTGGTTTGTAACGGTCTGCTCTTGCTGCTTGTCCCTGCGCAGGTGTGTACGGGGATGTCCAGAGGGTGAAGATTCTGTACAACAAGAAAGACAGCGCCCTGGTGCAGCTGTGCGACCCCAGCCAGGCTCAGCTCGGTCAGTCAGGTCTTTCATGCTGGATGTCTTTGGTTATTGTTGCGTTTCTAATACATCCATATGTCTTAAAAGCAATGAGCCATTTGAATGGTCTGAAGATGTACGGCAATGTGATCCGCGTCACAATGTCCAAACACCAGAATGTGGCGCAGCCTCAGGGAAACCCAGATGACAGCGGCCTGACCAAGGACTTCACAAACTCTCAGTTCCACCGCTTCAAAAAACCAGGCTCCAGGAACTTTAACAACATCTTCCCACCTTCAGCCACTCTGCATATTTCTAACATCCAGTGAGTAAACCGCCTGTTTTGATGCCCCTTCAAATGTTGGCACTGTCTTAGTTTCTATCGCTAAATATACTTTGAATTCATATCATTTTGATGTGATCTGCTCATGCAAGGGGACATCTGATGATTGAATAAATTGAAATGTCCCTGGTGATGCATAGCTGCTCCTGAATCAAGCTGCAGTTGCCTCATGTTCATCAGCCACTTTAATGTTTCAACAAAATATTCATCCTTTCAAAGGGAGACAATGCAATTCATCAAAATTCATCTTTGATTGCGCCCCTCAATAAAACTTCTGCTCGTGCGCCAGTCTGTCCCCTGTCCCGCTCGCAGCAGCAGCCTCCAGGTGGAAATGTCTGATACATGTTTGTTTTTATCTTTGTCTTCACCACAGACAAGACATGAGTGACGACGATCTGGAAGCGCTTTTCTGCAATGGCGGGGGAACTGTAAAGGCAGTGAAATTTTTCAAGTAAGTATTTTCATGTAAATTAAATGCATATTTTTTGTTTCTTCAAATGGATCCAAAGGTCTTCACCATCTTTGTATTTAAAAAAACATGCACACATTATCATGTGTATAAAACGCACGGAGAATTATGTGTGCGATGTAATAAAAAATTATTTTAGAATTGATCCTGAAGTACAGAAAAATATGTGGACAAAGTGATTATAAGCCAATCGACAGCACTTCTCTGGCCCCTTTTAGTATTGTGGATATGTGCTGTAGACCTCTCCCAAATAAACACTACACCAGCTGCGTTCCAGCGTCGGCGGTCTGAACGCCCCATAAGCCTCGGCAGGAGAACTTGGCCTAGGGGTGGGCGATATGGCCTAAAATTCATATTGCAGTATAATTTGGGACACAGACTGTATATATTGCGGTATAATTTGGTGTGTGAATTTCAATATAGGTCTAGCAAGATTGTTACTTATTTAAATGTATTGTGCAAAACTGCAATTATACAGAACATTTATAAAACTAACTTCCAAGCAGCATTGCTGGGTTTCAACCACGTGACGTTTCTCCTGTTGAATAGAATGGGCAATGCTGGAAAACGCAGACATAGGAGCTTTTCACTTTGTAGTGTTTCAGTGATTCCATTTTTTTCAACAATGAGAAAGATGAAGGCTGTTATAGTGACGACAGTGGAGTCACTCTGGTATCAACAGAAACACGTCTGAGATGATACTTCTGATCAATAACACAATAAACATGGCACAAATGTTACTTTAGACAGCATTTGAAGCGAGAAATCTGACCCTTTATCGTCATTTCGGTGATTTGTTGAGCTGTAAATAACCAAAAGTACGGAGCTCCAGGGGGAGCTCCGCTGTTAGGTTAGCTCCGTAGCGTTAAGCTAATAGCAGTGAGTGAGCTAACAGCGGAGGCTACAATTAGAAAATGTATTTAACAGTCCTTTCTTTCTGTTGCCTCGGCTACTACAACCGTATAACACAAAATCTATGAAAGTAAGCGAAGTAAAGACTGCGGACTGTCCGCTGCCTCTGGCCGCAGATGCTACGCATTTCTCCCGTTCCTTATTAGGCATTTTCCTAAAAATTGACACCCATTAGAGAAATATTTTTTAGCAAAGTAGAGACTCTATAAGTTCCCTACTTGATATGAGCAGTTGCCACAACTGTACACGTCACAGAAAAATAACATTTTAACTCTGAATCCGTGGATGTTTACATTGTTCTTAGTGGGGAAATGTACTTCCTGTCCAACCCAGCAATTTGATGACATAATGACCTACCGCGATATGCCGGTATAGCAAAAATCGCTTATACCGTTTTTATATCGCCCAGCCCTAACTTGGCCTATGCCCTGTTTAGTCTGAATCGCAAATCTGGTTTTTGGCGGAACACACCTCTGTACACACATACAAGTACATAAAGTTGCATGGCGCCGTGGCAAGAGCTCTGGTGTGTGTCGTCTGGTGCACACTGGGGTAGTCTTGCACAGTTTTTCCAATGTGGTTTTAGTGCAAATGGCAAATAAATGAATCTGAATTTGAGTTAAGGTCTTGGGGAAAAAAATATCACTTTTGAAAAAGTGGAATTTTAATTTGGAAATAGAGCAAGCACCCTGTAAATCGCAATCACGCATGACACAGCTGCATGCGGCCCTGTGGAAGCCTAAATGCATGATAATTTAAAAATGGCCACTTATGGAAAACTCTTTGTTTTACTTTCAGGGATCACACAATGGCTTTGCTCCAGATGGCCACAGTTGAAGAAGCCACACAGGCTTTGATCGACCTCCACAACTACAGCGTAGGAGGGAACCAGTACCTGCGCGTGTCCTTCTCCAAATCCACCATTTAAGACGGCGGATGGAACCAGACCTGCTACGGACCATTGATTTTCCCATTCCATTACGACTTCACCTTCCCAAAAAGCTGCAGAAGTAGCTCCCACCTAGTTTGACCTAATGTGTTGGCAGTCCTGGTGGATTGTCCATTTTTTTTATTTACAAGGAACTGTACATCTTTTCTATTCGAGGACTTATTGAGCTAGATACTGGGGACGTGCCTTACTTGGCAAAATATTTCAACTGGTGTTAAGATACTGTACAATGGGTAGGCAATATTTGTGACTAAACCGTGACACATTTTAGATGTTTTGTTTCTGTCCTCAAAAGGTTGAAAATACGTTTTTCCCACTTTTGAGTTTACCGTGTAGTCCCCCTACAGTTTTGTATTCTATGCTGTGTAGACTTTTTTTTTTTTTGCGCTTTTATTCATCATATCTCGGTCAAACGCTGGGGTTAACTTCAATCCACTCAATCGTCATGGAAATTGGGCAAAAACTGGTCACCTGGTCCGGTCACCTGGTCCGGTCACCTGGTCCGGTCACCTGGTCCGGTCACCTGGTCCGGTCACCTGGTCCGGTCACCTGGTCCGGTCACCTGGTCCAGTCACCTGGTCCGGTCACCTGGTCCGGTCACCCTAGAGTCCTGATGCTGTGCTCTGTCAACGTTCATAAAGTCATTTGGTCCTTTTATAAAACATGATTGTAAGATGGCCATGTTTTTACCTGGATCTCACCTTGTTAGTCTAAACTCTCCTGAACATGGATCTGGCTTCTCCGCCGGCTGGTGGTGCCTCGGAAGAGCACTTTAAACATGTCAAGGTGATAACATCTTAAGTTATTTGGTCTCCTAAACCATCTTAATTATACTAAAGGTTCCAAGGATGTCTACAACTCAACCCTCAAAACAAATAGTAATGACCATAAGTTAAAAGGAGCCATTGCATGTAGTCAATTATGGATTCAAAGATGGCAACTTGTGACATAAGTTTCTGTGCCTTCATAAGTAATCTTTTATACTTAATATTGTCGAGCCATCTAATTTAGAGGGAATACATCCTACGACACTGTTTTCTAACCACACAATGAGCTCAGAGTGCAGAGTTATGTGACATGAGTGTAAATGATGAATAAAGAGCTGCCCAAGTGTGAAGTTTTAAACATGGCTTCTTGTGGCGGTCAAAGAGGAACATGTAAAATGTTTAGATGTTCCCATGAGGAATGAATAGAACAAATTGGTCAACATCCCCTTCCATCTAAATATTAATCTTTGACTATGACGATTACTCAGACTGTGACCCGACTGAGCCTCGGTTTGCCTTGTTTAAGAAAATATTAGCCCCTTCAATTAGTTTTGGGAATTTCTCCAAATGAGGACTAAAACAGCATGCATTCAATTACAGCAAACAAAGTGGATGGAAAATTATAATCTGCTTTTATATGTTACCACTTCAACCACAAGTTACTAAGCATTTTATTTACTCACTTTAGAGGAGCAGTGAACCCCCAACTGTCCCCATCATTTAACTGTGGTGCTGTCCTCTGCTGACCCGCAACAGTGATCAAAGAAAATACCCTAAAGAATAGTTTCTCTGAGCTGAATTTGGATGACTTTTCCTAACCTCAGACTCTAATTTAGGGTATTTGTCTTCTACTTTTAATCATGTGTGGAGTCATTTTGAGGGTAGCTCTAGGGTTAAAGTTGTTCCTTACTTTCTTAACACATTCCTCATATCTTGAGTTTAAGTTTGTCACAATTGTAGGGGCCCTTCGGAAATGTGCTGTATGCAGTGGTCTTTGATTCTTTTGAGCTGCATAGTAAGTATTCGTCGGGGAAAGCCCAAGGATTACCCGGGAAAACTCTGGTTCACTATAATACTGAAAGTGTTTGAGAAACGTCTTTAAATGTATTATACTCTGCAACTAAGAATTCCTGCTCAATAAAAACGTTCAAAAAATTAGTGTAAATGTCTCAGTGCCTGGTCTGACCTTTACATCAGCATTATTTTATATATCCATTGGTTTAAAATGATTTAACCCATGTTAAGAGGTGGTGAATAGGTAAAGCAGTGAAATTGTTTTGCCAAAGTTATATACGCGATGTGTGCATTTGATCTAATGTTAGATTGTGGTAGGGCTGGGCAAAAAAGTAAAATCTTTTTATTTCCTGCTTTGGACGATCACCGTCACCGAGGATGGACTTTTCCCTAAAAAATAATTTTGGATCTCTGCTCAATATCAAAGTTCCAAAACTATTTGTTTCCCTTAAGTATTATAAAAGTCTTGTACAGACTGTGCTGATGTTGCAAGTATAATTCATGTGCTGCTGGAACTCTCACAATATCATTCATTCGATTTCACATTTTTTACACATTCGATTGTTTTCAAAAGCCGATTTATTGCCCAGCCCTAGATTGTGGTGAAAAATGAGAATGCTCTTAATTTGCTGTTAAAATAACGTGGTTAGTCGTTATGGGTAAAGAGAGGCCTCATGACAACCAAACGGTTCAAAACACCTCCACACTGACATCTTGTGGTGTCATGGTATTACTGCAGTGATCTGGAACGTGTCACGTGACACTCCTGATTGTTGATTACAATTAAATGAACTCTCATTCACTATCAACAGAACATGTGATCATATGACCTCAAACACCACAGATTGGGGGAATACATGTGCATATGTGGAGAACATGACTGTAAACTATTTCTATATTTCTAAGATTTGCCACAAATGTTCATTCTTCATCTGAAAACTTCTTTAGAATTCTGCACTGGACTGCTTCAGGTTGATTTGTATGTTCCTCAAACATCTGCATTTCTACACATGCTTCCACTCTCACAGCGCACACCTGCAGACGCAGCTTCAAAAGCAGTTGTAATAAATGATTAATAAACATGTGTTTCCTCTGCATTAGGGACTAATGCAGGGACAAAAATATATACTCTGTTTTACTACTTTTCATTTATACAACTTGTACACTGGCCAAACCTGCAGGTGAAAGCTAGATACCTTTGAAGCCAAGAAGATAGGGTTCGGGTTAGTACTGTGATGGGAGACCTCTGGGAACACCAGGTGCCACAGTGGGGCGGCTGTGGCAGTAGAGTTTCAAACCATTTTTGTGTCCTTAGGCAAGACACTTCACCCACATTTCCTGTGTGAGTGAAAGAATAATTACGGTGTGACACAGACAGGAAGACTCTTGAAAAACAAAAGTAAGATTATAGTTGGGTTTTGTGCTCTGCAATTTTTATTTGTCTTTTTGTGTTTTTCTAGCTGTAAATGTTGCTGCAGTACAGTGTTCATGGGTTTACACCGATCCAGACCAGAGCAGAGATGGTACGAACCAAGCAGACAAAGCAAAAATCTGTCGTCGTCCTACAACCGCTGCCTGGCCTTGGTCCTCGTTCTGTAGCTTAGGTCCTGGATCTACAGCCCGTCTGTCTGTGTGGAGTGGATCCCTCTCTCAATGTAGATCTTGAGGTTTCTCTGATGTGTGTGGTGTGTATCAGTCTGTTGTGTCTAGTGTCCTTTTTATGCTGTTGTCTGTTGGGGGGGGCAGTGCAAGAAAGATAGACACTGAGAGGCTTAACTGGCTCATAACCGGGTCTGGATTCAGTGGAGGAGGTGGTGGAACAAAGAACGCTCTCCAAGATGATCTATCTCTCTATCTATCTAGTCCTGGGGTTGAGTCGTTAAGCAGAACTGGGAATCCAGCGACTGAAAAGCAAAGAATGAGAAAACAAGGCAACCTTGGTTAAAGGTGATTTCAAATTTAAAAATGACCAGTAATAACCATGAGCAGAATATGTTTGTCTTTGTGTGTGTGTGTGTGTGTGTGTGCGTGTGTGCATGCGCACATGTGTGTGTGTGTGTGTGTGTGTGTGCGTGTGTGCATGCGCACATGTGTGTGTGCATGTGATGTTTATACTGTATACTGTACTTTATCCACAGAGAATAAGACAATAGTAGTGATAGCAGGAGGTAGTTACTAGAGAATGATCAGATAAATGGAATATGTAATAGTGTAATAATAAAGCAGGTACAGTGACTAGTGGATTATCAGAACAGGAGAATGGCACGTGTAGAATCACACAAATGTTTTTCTTTAATGACTGTGGACACAGAGGCATCGCCCTGACACGTCTAAATATCATTTTGTACTTTGGTAACATAGAGGATCCTTTTCCAACATGTTGAAAAGCACTTCAGATTCATTTGAACATATGGAACAAGATGGATTGTTACAGCTCTAAAATACAGAGAGAAAATATCCTGAACATTTCTTAATGTTTACAACAGCTTTAATACAGTTGAAATGAACAACTGTTTAGGTTTTGGTGTAATGGTATGCATTCGTGCACTCATATTGGGCAGATAGTTTGGTCCATGTCTGTTGACCATTTCATTACATTACATAAATGACTATTCATGATTTCTACACTAGTTCTAAATGTTCTGTCGCTTGGCCCGTCTCGGTCCCACACCCACACAGCGTCCTGAAGCCATGGAAGTGTCCAAGGGGTCCTCACTTTCCACCTGTCCTGGCTGTCTGCAGGTTTAGAAACACAGGTGCCAAGGATCTGAAACGCAACAGAGTCGCTTTATAGAATAATAGCCTGTTGAAGAATTCAAACACCACGGGAGAAACATCAACTCAGGTTAAATACACATAAGATACAAAAAAATATGCTGAAATGAACAGCATAATGCTGTATCAGGCGTTTAAAGCCAAACACTGAGGATTCTTTAAGAGTCCTCATATGATATCTATGAGATATCATATGATACATTGGCCAGCATGAGCTGTTGATTTTAGGGGAGCATGGGTACAGGACACATGCAATACAATAATAAAGAGGATATAGTAGAATTGTCCTGCATGCTAGGCGTGTGGAAGAGTAAAAAAAAATATATATATATGTTGTGTGCTGCTGTTTTGCCATTGACCAGTATATTAAAAGGCACATGATCAATGTTTTGTTTTTTGATTCCATGACATCAAAGTAAAGTA